ATATAATTTCGGTAGGTGTTTCAAAAACGGAGTAATTTGGTCCAAAAATAACAGTTTGAGGAATTTCGGACGCCGTTGCGTTACCCTCTATCTGCAAATTTCATAAGTTCGCATCAGAAAAAACCCAGTCGTTGATTAAACTGTTCTTTTGCCAGCGTACATCGAAGCAGAAAGTGGCATCAGTCTTCTGATAATAGGCCGAAAGTACGGTTGCTTATCATAGTTAAGGTGTGCCCTTTTGGAACGTCTGAATGACGTAGCATTTTATTCCAAGTCATTCCATGATTTCAAGTAAGAACACTTACTGTGACTCACGATCGTTTGAAATAAGTGCAAGCTATTAGTGCGTTCCGCAGCGCCTTTTGGATAAATTAATCAATCATGTCAATGTGTCAAACTTCAAGGGAAATTTGTGTACAACTTAGACGAAAAAAAAAACAACATTTTAGGAAATGCATTGATGATAGGACTAAAAATAAACATCATATTGACCCAGCTGTGAAACGCTTGGAGCCTCGGTGGAATTTGAATCCACGACAGCAAGCGGAAGGCTTTAATACAGCGAACAATCTAGCCTCCTAAGCTACGAGGCCTCACCGGAAAACGTGAATTTAATCCCATTTGGGTCACGGTACCCGCCCAGCCCCGTAGCTTAGGTGGCTAGAGCGTTGGCTATACTATAGCCTTCCCCCTGCTGTCGTGGAGTCGAATCCACCAAAGGGCCCAGTTTCTTACAGTTGGCCCAATATGAATTATCCCCTACAGAAGATAAACTCTGTATGGTATCTTCACCCAGTAGTGGATCCTGGGTGAACTACTTAAGAAATCCTGCATGGCAATCAGCCACCTGCAGCAGATTAGGTGAATTCCAGACGTTGCAGTCGGTTGGGCGGGTAACTGGACCCAAATGTGATTAAACTCACGTCTTCCGTTGGGACCCCCTGGCTCAGTTGGTCGGAGGGTTGGCTTTAGTAAAACTTTTCCATTACTGTCGTGGGTTCGAATCCCACCGAGGCGCCGAGGTTTTCACAGCTGGGTTAATATAGCTTATTCAAAATCTGCCAAAACATGTATGAAAATAAACTAGCGACATCATCCGAACTGCAGTGCGTGACCGATCTCATGAAATGTTGGCCGAAATTCTGAAATGCGTTTTCGATTAGGAAGGATTACTTAGGTGGGGCTGTAATACTGATTAGCATGCAGCATACTCCTATAGCATTTTAGACTGATCAAGATGTCGGATTGCGGATGCACTCCTTTCTGACCTTCTGCAGAAACCGCGCTCTGCAGAAAATGACTCCTTAAGTTGCATGCATTTTTCGTATGGAATTTCGACGGTCTTACAAATTCAAATATATTTTATAGAAAATGTGCACAAAAATATGCATTTTTACTTGATTGGTAGAGAATCACACTTCTTTCATATCGTATACCTGAAAAAAGTGTATATTTATGTCTTTAAATAGTTTCTAGTTTTGGGATTTTCAAGACCGTGCGATGTTCATATATACACCATTGTACATGTCCGCTTACCATGCCTTCTCATAAAATGTACAACACAGTCCGGATCCATTGCGATATTTTATAAACTCTACATGGTATCTTCTTAAAGACATAGAGGAATATGTAATTTTCCTTACGCGGAAAGCATGCACCTTGTAAACTGAAATCGCCAAATGCTAATGCAATGGCCATACTGGCTCAACATTATTCGAGAATTGGAAAACGTTTTTAAAACCTAAAGATATACCTTCTTCTGGTATATTTCAATTTGCCAGACCGTCAAAATTTAATAATGCTATAGGATTATGCTGCATACTAATCAATATTACAGCCCCAACTTAGTAATCCTTCCTAATCGGAAACGCATTTCGGAATTTCGGCCAACATTTCATGAGATCGGTCACACGCTTTACTTGGAGGTATGCAATACTTAAACATCATATTCCACGCAATATCAATATTTTGCCCTCCCTTATCGGCCGGGAATGGGAATATGTACTTACTGTATTTCAGGTGACCTTGCGAGAAGTTCCAGGGGGATTGGGGTTATGAGGGCTATTTTTAGGGCTTGTATACGGAAATGGCTACCTCCCTGGATTTTGACGCAAGACCACGTGTGTTACGGCGTTCCTTAGTCCCAAGTTTAGCCCATTTATTTGTTTTATTCTATGCAAAGGCGTGCTTAAAATCGCATGCCAGTTTTTGAGCGTGTCCTTGCATGCAACCTGCCCGAGGAATCCGAATACAGTTATCAGCGGCCTTCATGGAGACGTTTAAAGTAGCTGGAAGCAAAATCCATCGTTAGTCCATCCGGGTAGTCTCCGAGATGGGAGACTGTCTTGATTCTAGGCTGCTTTCCTCCCGAGGAGAATTCTTTCGAGGCATTGCCAGCCACAAGAAACATTTCAGTCAATTAGTTTTCTTACGTTTAATGGATAGTTTATCGGGACATTTTCAGGAAATGAATTGACTCCCCACCCCTCCCTGACTGAACTGAAGTATGCCCTAGGGCATTATTTTCTACCCCGTCTCAGTCCGGAAATACGTCATTTGCATTTTGGATGTCGTAAAGCGGGACTTCTTGACGAAATTTAGCCGAACAAGCTAAGAGTGCTACCTTACCAGTCGTTTCGCTAAAGCAAAATAACGCATAACGATGGAGACCTCATTGCTGGTTCGCCGACCGACTGCAGTCATGGGCAAGGTTTTTTGTCGCCTTGAGCCAACGCCTGACTTTCACAATGTTTTCAATGTATGTGCGTGGGAAGCATATTGCCGATACATCTCCGAGCTCTGCTCTTAGACGACTATTCTCCCGAGGTTACCAACTTCAAACTCACTATCATTACACCAGGGGCCCCACAGTGAAGTATGTGAGGGCCGAATCATACAGGGTTGCCTACTGCGGTGCAATACATGTACAGTAGGTGGGCTAACTCATGAAATGTCAACTGAAATTCCGAAATGCGTTGTCGTTTCGAAAAGAGTAATTAAGTAGGATTGCAAAACTAATCAGTCTGTAGTATAATTCTATAATAATTCAGGTACCTCATGATGCTGGCTTTTGAACGAACTTCCTTCTGGCTGTATAGAAAAACTATACTCTGTAAAAAACGACTACTTGAGTAGCATGCATTTTTTTCATTGATTTTCGATGTCGCTAAGAGTCCAATTATATTTTATGCAAAACATGCATGAAAATATTCATTCTTTTGCGCATTCGGTAGACACTTACGTCTTCTTCTAATTTTATGCTCGAAGGCGGAACATAATTTGTATTTAAAAAGTTTCTTATTGTGAGACTTTTAAATACCCTGAAATGGCCGTTCATAAAACGTCATGTCTCTGCATTTACCCATGTTGCTTGTAAAGTTAACAATATGGATCAAATCCAATGCTACATTTTATGAACTCCATATGGTTTCTCAATACCGCAGAGAACTGTGTGGTTTTCCGTACGCGGAAAATACATGGCTTGTTGTTTGGAATCCCTGAATGAAAGTTTGAGGACAGAGCGGGTTCAAAATTATTCGGGAATTAAAAAAGTTTTTGAAAACCGAATATTACCCTTCCCTCGAGTATAAGATTCGAAGAAGACATAAATTACTACCGAATGAGCAAAAGAATGAATATTTCCATACATGTTTTCCATGAAATATAATTGGACTACTGAAGTAGTCATTTTTGTAGAGCATAGTTTTTAAATGCAGCCGCAAAAAAGTCCCTTCGAAAGTCAGCACCCTTAGGTAACTGAAATGTTGAAGGATTATATTGCAGGCTGACCAGTTTTACAACCCTACTTAATTATTCTTTTCGAAACGAAAACGCATTTCGGAATTTCGGTTGGCATTTCATGAGTTAGCCCACCTACTGTATCTGAGTTTATTGCTGATGCTTCTGTTGGAGCTGTATTCGAACACGTTTCTGTCTTTCATGCACGCTTGTGTTTGGCAGGGCCCTTGAAGAGTGATGGCCCAGGCCAAGTGTAGGGCTGTGTCTCAACCTTCTGGGCCTTAAAGATCTCACGGGTCTGCCATGCCATGATT